CATTTGCTTATCGGATAGTCAACTAGCCGCTTACATCCCTATCTTGACCTGTCTCCTTTTCAAAAGCCTGAGAGAACAGAAGGACCTTGTGTGCACTCTGAAGGTGAACGGATTGAGACTCCATCAAGTAAAGGGAAAAACAAGCTCTGGAAATGATGAGCACTCACCAAAAATATCCTGTTAGCAACCTCCTTTTGGGTAACCACTAAGCTCAATAGTCAACTAGCCGCTTACATCCCTATCTTGACCTGTCTCCTTTTCAAAAGCCTGAGAGAACAGAAGGACCTTGTGTGCACTCTGAAGGTGAACGGATTGAGACTCCATCAAGTAAAGGGAAAAACAAGCTCTGGAAATGATGAGCACTCACCAAAAATATCCTGTTAGCAACCTCCTTTTGGGTAACCACTAAGCTCAAACAACTCAGCTTTGATGGTACCATACATTCAGTTTGTGTCTCAGTTAATGTGGAAAGTCCCAAGCCATATAGGTCTTTACAAAACAAAAACCAGCATCTTGAAATGCTCCTGCCACAAAGTCGCAGCCAGTGCAAATGACAGAACTCACTGTCTAAAACACTCCTTCTAAGAAGCATCACGAAGTGAGCACCCACATTCTGATCCTCCAGGTTAGCCCCCCATAGTGTGCACTGGAGCAATCTAAACACTGATCTAAGCATTGATCATTGCAGAAGAGGTGGTTCTTCTTGTCAGAAGCAGATTAAAAAAACATTTTTGTTCACTGCTACTATCTGGACATCTACAACCAGCTGGGAATGTAACATAAGTCTGATTATAAACCTGGGTCACAAACTGGCAAACTCTTCCCATCAAAGCATCCAACACAACCTTTCCATCCACTGAACTGCTTCCCCCAGACTCATAACTCAAGTTTATCTGGATTGAGACTCAACCAGCCAGCCCTCCTCCGTCCCCCATGCTTAGTTTCCATTGGATAAGAGACTCATCTGCACCAACTGAGCCACATGAGTGAAGAACAATGCTGGCCAATACAGTACTACTCATTTATATCACACTCATCCCCAAAGTAATTAAGCACCTAAACATAATGTTTTGCCACAGAGATCACTCACATGTCCACATCCCAAACTGCACCCCCAACACAAGAGAAAAATGTGCAATCGAAAGCCAAAACAAAAATCTATTTCAGAAATAAATCAACAACAAATAATAAATGTCACTGAAGATGTAAACTCTTGCACCCTGCTATACACTTAAAACGTAGATCAACACAGTTACATCATGCAAGGCCAAGGTGGATTTTTTTTTAAAAAGCTTTATTTTTTAATCAAATCCTTCCTTGACTTAAATTGGATTATTTCATTACTTAAATTATGATTTCTTTAAAAAAGACATTTAAAATGAAATCTATATATGTTAAGGTCTGAACTTAAAAGCTCTTTAAACAGTTACATTTAAAAAAAAAAAAAAACACTGGATCCATGAAGCCTTATCTAAAGCACCTAGTTAAAGGATGCTTTCCTATATTTTAAAAAAAGAATCAGGGAAAACACATCTAACTTTTGAGGTCAAGCTTTATAAATATAGCACAGTATGACATGCGCCTTATTAAAAGGCAGATCCTATGTCCCAACTGGCCAAAGTCATCACGTGTTGTAAGAATGTAAAATCCCATTCAATTAGTTAATCGGTTAAACCTTATGTTTAACAGGTTAACCGATTAAACAGAGGTGGGGCAGAGGAGCCGCTCTGCTCTAGAGCCAAGTTGGAGCAGCCCTGCCGATTAATGGTAAGGGTGATGCTTACTGGTTTACCATTCACATCCCTCACGTTGGGACCTACCTTCTGACTCCAGGGGACATCATCATGTGTCTCACCAGGATCATCCACCAAACTCATCTGGATGGTCTCATGCTCCTCTAGCTTCTTCCTAGCTGAGATCTGACTGCTTTAGTTCTCAAATTATGAGCTTTATGACTCCACCCACCATGGAAATTTACTCTCCAGCTTCTGGAAAAACAATGATTTGCTCACCAACAACCAGGCCCTTACTTAGAGGCACCTCAAATAAATGGCCTTGTTCTGTCTCCTTTCACATGTGCACAGAAAGGGATACAAACAAACCAACCAATTCCTCAACCACCTCCCTTAGTCTCTAAACAAATAAAAATAGTGCAGTGAAAAAAGCATGTGGGTTACACAAGCAGAAATCAAAGGGCACGTCTGCACGCCAAGGTTTTGTCACCAAAAACTGACTTTTGGCGACAAAACAGTGAGAGCGTTCACACGGCAACACAACTTTTGTCAGGAAAAACAGTTTCAGAGACAAAAAGCTTACACTCCGATGAGACACTTTTCTTTTCCCCTCTCTTTATTATCAGTGACGAGCCAGTGTAGACTCTGCTGTTTGTTTTGTGGACAGAACTGGCTTCTGCCCATATCCCACAATGCCTGCCCTGGTGACTCTGCTCAGTGTTTTGATCTCTGCTGCACTGCAGACATGCACTCCCCTTTCAAAAGTCCAGGAATATGACAGTTGAAAGAGCTTTTCCTTTTAGGGACCAAAGAGCAAATCATTCGAGTGCTCCTGTTCTGCCCTGCACTAGGAACACTGCCGCAAGGCACACAGCTGCTCACCAGGAATAAAGCGCTCTCAGCAGCTGAGGTGGCTGTGGGAAAACTCAGAGGGAATCCCAAGATGCACAGCTCTGCCATCTCACAACACTTCACTGAGGGAATGGGACACATACACACAGTGCATCGCTCACACTATCAATAGTCCCCTAATGTGGACATGATCTGCAGACAGAGGAAGCAAGTATGAACACCTTCTGGCGATTTTTCCTGTGTTGACTTTTGGTGTCAACAAAATTTGGTAGTGTAGACATTCCTTACACTGTTGTTCTTTGCTTTTTCTAGGTGAGAATTGGGAGGAAGGAGACAGAGAAAACTAGCTTGGCTGGATGTTGTAAAAAAACACTGCATTTAGAAATATTTTCTAAGTATTTCTAAATACCTCTAAACCTCCAGGTAAACAAGGAACACATGGCAAATGTAAACAACGAGACAAAGGCACAAAACACCATGACAGTTCAGACATGCTCACATAATTTTCCATCTAGTTGGTTAGTAAACTTACTTAAAAACACCATTTTTACAGACTGCCTACCGTATTTACTGTGCTAATAAATAACAGACTTATCATGCATTTGGTTTTGGGTGTATTACTTATGAATTTCAAAATATTTGAGTTCTAAAAATACTCCCATGAATATATCAATTATGTTCGTACTATTACTGCTGAATTTCGGAGATTATTTTAACTGCTCGATATGATCAAACCTCCTACAATAAGATCTCCTGTTTAAAAAGTAAAGTTTTATTAGACATTTATGAATTTTAACATTTAAAGTCCCGTCCCCCCAATTTGATATGTTGCTAGAGATAATAAATTTAGATAATCTTAACTTGGTACAAGCACGTGCAGTAGAAATCATTTATTTACAATCTCTCTTTTCTTTTTAAGGTAATACAATAACTCAGTGAGAGTGACTTTTATTACCAATTTGCTGCAGAAACCGTCTTAGATATAAGGGATTATGAAAGTCTATCATCTGTCATGTCTACAAGTTAAGAGTTCTCTGCAGTGTTGTTAACTAAACATACATCAGACAATAAATTACCTATACCAAACAAATACTGTCCTCATAATTTAAGTAACAAATTCTCCTTTTCATCTTTTTCCTGACTAAATATTTCATTGGCATGGTTCAATCACAACATGGTTAAATACCACCTGGCAGAGCAAACATTCCTGAAAGATTGCTAAATACAGTGTCTGAGAAGGAAATTGAACAGGATGCAAAAAACACTGATGAGAAATTTCTTAATCTGGGTCTTTGACCGGTGGAGCAATGTATACAATGAACCAGTAAGTAATACTCGAACAGAAGATGGGACTGTCTGTTTTGCAGAAATAGCTGGAATCAAGAAATGCACATACAGCAGAATATCTAAAAGAAGCAGCACAAAAAGCTCTATGAACAAACATTCAATGTCAAGTGCATAGCCTCATCACAGACAACGGCAAAGGTAACAAAGATGAGAAGAAATCTAGAAGACAACAAAGAGAACCTGAAACTTACAACATACATGTGTAGTGGCCATTTGGTGCATCTTTCAGCCAATGACTTAACTCCAATAATAAAGCAAAGCGTTGATGGAAGGTCTGAAAAATTGTGTAACCACCACATTGTTTCAGCTTCAACGAGAACAAGATGATACAAACGAATTGTCCAACATGTATGAGGGACTTCAATAGTTGAAGATGTTATTAAGAACTGGTCTCTTGATAAAAAAAATTGTGAAGAAAGTCACAACAAAATAGATAGAACTATTCAGAAGATAAGCTGAATACACTAAAACCTATTTTCATAGCTTTGCACCAAATGGAGAAAGAGTGCTATGGTATTGCTGAGTCTGGAAAGAACTTCAAGAAACACTGAAGAGATACCCAACTACAAAGAACAAGTTAAAAATCACTTAGGAAAGTTAGATGTCAGCAAGTCACCAGGTCCTGATGAAATGCATCCCAGGATACTCAAGGAGCTGATAGAGGAGGTATCTGAGCCTTTAGCTATGATCTTTGAAAAATCATGGCAGACAGGGGAGATTCCAGAAGACTGGAAAAGGGCAAATATTGTGCCCATCTATAAAAAGGGGAATAAGAACAACCCAGGAAACTACAGACCGGTCAGTTTAACATCTGTCCCAGGGAAGATAATGGAGCAGGTAATTAAGGAAATCATATGCAAACACTTGGAAGGTAATAAAGTGATAGGGAATAGCCAGCATGGGTTTGTGAAGAACAAGTCATGCCAAACTAATCAGATAGCTTTCTTTGATAGGATAACGAGCCTTGTGGATAAGGGAGAAGCGGTGGATGTCATATACCTAGACTTTAGTAAGGCATTTGATACGGTCTCGCATGATATTCTTATTGATAAACTAGGCAAATATAACTTAGATAGGGCCACGATAAGGTGGGTGCATAATTGGCTGGATAACCGTAGTCAGAGAGTTGTTGTTAACGGTGCTAAATCCTGCTGGAAAGGGATAACAAGTGGAGTTCCGCAAGGGTCTGTTTTGGGACCCGTACTGTTCAATATCTTCATCAATGATGTAGATATTGGGATAGAGAGTACGCTTATTAAGTTTGCAGATGATACCAAACTGGGTGGGGTTGCAACTTCTTTGGAGGAGAGGGACATAATTCAAAATGACCTTAGCAAGTTAGAGAAATGGTCAGAGGTAAACAGGATGAGGTTTAATAAAGAGAAATGCAAAGTGCTCCACTTAGGAAGGAACAATCAGTTCCATACATACAAGATGGGAAGCGACTGTCTAGGAAGGAGCATGGCAGAAAGGGATCTAGGGGTCATAGTGGACCACAAGTTGAATATGAGTCAACAGTGTGATGCTGTTGCAAAAAAAGCAAATATGATTCTAGGTTGTATCAACAGGTGTGTTGTAAGCAAAACTCGTGAAGTCATTCTGCCGCTCTACTCTGCACTAGTTAGGCCTCAGCTGGAGTACTGTGTCCAGTTCTGGGCGCCACATTTCAAGAAAGATGTGGAGAAATTGGAAAGGGTACAGAGAAGAGCGACAAGAATGATTAAAGGTCTAGAGAACATGACCTATGAAGCCAGGCTTCATGAACTGGGCTTGTTTAGTTTGGAAAAAAGAAGATTAAGGGGGGACATGATAGCGGTTTTCAAATATCTAAAAGGGTGTCACAAGGAGGAAGGAGAAAATTTGTTCCTCTTGGTTTCTGAGGACAGGACAAGGAGTAATGGGCTTAAAGTGCAGCAGGGGAGGTTTAGATTGGACATTAGGAAAAAATTCCTAACTGTCAGGGTGGTCAAATATTGGAATAAATTGCCAAGGGAGGTGGTGGAATCTCCCTCTCTGGAGATATTTAAGAACAGGTTAGATAGACATCTGTCAGGGATGGTGTAGACAGAGCTTGATCCTGCCTTGAGGGCGGGGGGCTGGACTCGATGACCTCTCGAGGTCCCTTCCAGTCCTATTATTCTATGATTCTATGATTAATAAACCTTCCCTAGTCTGTCACCCTTGGCCCCAAAGGAGATCCCCTGCCTCTGGCCCCTAAACCCACCTGATTCTAGCTCACTACTGTCGCAATAGTCACCTTGTA